AAGCATGCAATTCAGTATCATGATCTATGTCCCCATCTGAACTTTTAATGAGCATCAAACCTCTTATTTTGAGATGAACATCACAATTTTTATCAAATGAGCACTCATGAACTTTTACTAAGCATTACACTTATTCTGTTGAGTATTAAAAGTATAATGAATATGAGTATGAGATGATCATACGTAACTTACAAAATGAGTATTAATGAATTTGTTAGTTGCTTTGTTAGTTGAGTATCATGACATTTTCATTGGACACCGAACATCCTCTGTTGAGATTGATGAAAATCATGATTTCTATTAAATGAGTATTAATGAATTTTTAATGAGCATCAGACATAGACAAAATGTGCATATGTAACTTAGAAGATGAGCATTGATATGAAAATTGTAAGTTTTGTTCGTTGAGCATCAAGACATTTTCAATGAGCATCAAATCTCCGTTATTGAGTATTATATTATGCGATTGAGTATCATGATTTGTCGTCTCGTGTTTATAATCAACTCTTATAAAAATCTAATGCAATATGATACTTTTGAAATGTCCATTGCTAAAACATTTTAAAAATGAGCACAACAGAAATACTAAATGGACATACATAATTTACAAAATGAGTATTCAAAATTCAAAAGTTCATTTGGTATGTTCATTTTTTAGGCGTTTTACTCATTTTTTTAGGCGGTTTACTCATTTATGTTTAAGATAAAACTCATTTCTAATGTTTTCGGCATAATATATGAAAAAGAGAAAGAAGTAAACAACAAATAAAGGAAATGAATTAAAAAGAAAGAAAGACAAACCAAACGAAAGTGAAATCAACAACTAAAAAAGTAAAGAAAATAAAAAATCAAAAAGACAAAAGTAAACGTCACGATCAAAATAGATGACGAACTAAAAGAGGAAGGCGGTTGAAGAAAAAAGAAAGAAAATTAAAGAGGAAGGCGGCTGAAGAAAAGAAAGAGAAGAGGAAGGCGGTGGAAGAAAAGAAAGAGAAGAGGAAGGCGATGGAAGAAAAAAAAAAGCAAGAGAAGAGGAAAGAAAAGAGGGCGGCTGCAGAAGATGAAATACGACGGAAAGAACATGCTGACTCAGAGGCTTGAAATTGATATATTTACAAAAATACCGGGTGTACCTGTACACCCGGATGTAGGATATAAATTGCCATTATTTATGGTAGACATATTGGGATTGGGAGACTAATCCAAAATTTTCACATAAACAAGAAACCTCCTTTCTTTCATAAACACGGACTACGTTTTCTTTCCGTTTTTTGTTTCCTAATTAGCATAAAAGTTGAATTCCCTTTTTTTTAGCAAACTAACAGATTGATTTTTTTCAATGATCAACATATTATGAAATGTGAATTAATCATAAGAATGTGCTTGTTTGTTTTGTGCATCAAACACATCATACATCCACCATGTCATATGTCTACTTCTACATTATCATCTCCGTTCGAAAGAACTCACTCAAGAAAACAACAGGGATAGCATAATCAAGTCCTCTATCAACCGCCATAATCATTCTCATGACATTTCCGCTCAAATTAAGCACCGGAGCAACAAGAGACTGCATTATTTGAAGTCTCGAACGCACTATGGAAATCGGAGATGTGTAGCAATTGACGATATGGCCTAATTTTATCAATAAAGGAATTCAATCCCTTCGTCGCAGTATCCAATTCACCTTTCCCTTTTGGTGATGACACCAACCTATAAACCTATTCGATTCTGTGTTTTTCATACTACGAACAAAGATGCTTTGAACTCCATGCGCATAAAATTTCGACGTGAGAATAAAACCGTCCTTGTGCATACAAAAACCTGTTGCATACCGAGTATTTTTTCCACCCCTCAACACAAGTCTCACAATCCATACCACATACTTCATTGTCTCATAGTACCAGAATTCAGATGTTCGTCCCTTTTACCATCTCCTTACACGATGAAATTAAACCTACAACCCATCCTTGTGATGGCTCGACTTTAGTAGTCCATAGCTGACCCTCACGAATCCTTGCTAGGACGGACTGCCCCTAGATCACCTGCCATGAACACACTACCAAGTCAATGGCGTAGGTATGTCAACACATGTAAAGTACATGATTAGGCATGTATAAGATCATTTGCAATTTTATATCTCTAACTTTTGTTATACTCATATTAGTCGCGAACTTTACTATATGAATTTGATCTTGTAAGTAATACATCTTTTAATTTAAGGACTATTATGTCAATTAAAAAGCACATTTTATGACTAAAACGATGGGATGACGACTTCAATTTTTCTGCCATAAAATGTATTTTCTAGTGGAAATGCTTTTAGATTGGAAGTGTATTAGTTAAAGAATTACACGATTAAAGTTACAGGACTAACAGTGGACGTTATCTAAACTTATTAGACTAAAATTGCAAATTAGGTGAAATTTAATTATGTGAGGCACTTTATGTTAGATCACGTTCTAGTATGTAGACTTGCATTTTACACCTGCTGACCTACAAAATACATAAAATATCAAACTGAAACAGACAACACCAGAATGATTATAATAGACCATATAGCAACCCAATTCAAATAAGATCATTAGTCCATATCAGTCTATACGATTTATACTAGACCAAATAAGCTAAGAGATTTCGATCCAAATAAACATGTCGTAGCGATAAAAATGAGACAATATTTTTTCATTCGTGTCTAATTAAAGTTTATGTATTCTTTTTAGAATGTCCATAAATAATGTCTTTTTTTCTTTTCTATTACAGATGGTCAAACTGTTCCAAACCAGTGACTAAATTAAGCTTTGCCTTTAACTACCCTGCTTTGTGACTAAAATAAAGTCCTCTTAGACATTAAATCTGAACTTATACAACCGGCCGGTTATTGAAAAAGATTGCAATTAAGATTGAAGTGTTACGTTTTCTAGGACTTTTGCGAGCATGAAAAATATTTAACGGATGAAAATTGGTTGACGTCGGGCTTGACTTTTCTTCCTAGTTGTAGACTTGTTTCATAAATTCATAGTGCTATAAATTGGGGGATTGTCATATTCTTAATCACAAACTTGGAGTTGTGTACGTAGTCATTGGAGGACATAATGATGGAACTAACTAAATCGTACATTTTGAAGAGCGACAAAAAGGCTAGTAGCACGATATAATTTCAATATTTACTTTTGTGGTTATATCATGTCATCTTGACTCCGTCACACCAATTCCAGACTCGTAAGAATTCATCTCAAACCCTCGACAAATATAAATCTAAGTCAAACTAATCCTAGACTTAGAGGAATTCATTCCAAAGAATGTGTGTGTTCTCGATCAGGTTCTTCCTAACACAATCTTTTGAAAAACCATCACTAATTGATCAAGTATCGCTGAGTTTATAGCAAAAAAGTAATCTCAAACTATCGCTCGAGCCGATGCAAAACAATACTTGTACGACCAAGTACACGAGCTAGTCCCGAAAGCTAAGAGATCATCATTTAGAAATTATCTCAAATTTACCTTCTTAGTGACTTGAACTCAAGACCTCACACAGGAGATGAATCTTAGAGTTGTAGTCACTTTTACTTGTAGATTTCAATATTTACTTTATATTTTTTTGGAAGAATATTAAATTTATATTTGAAATGTGGGGAATTGAGTTGTCACACTATTTTCTTTTATCTTTTTAATATGAATTTTCACCTCATTTTTAAAAGTAGTTATACTTATATAACAATTCGATCAAGAAGAATCTCTGATATTGATTGCAAACTTGGAATTAGAAGAAGATATAGATTGAACAAAAACTATAAGCTCCAGGATGCAAATATTAGTGAAATACTAATTCAGATATCAATTTAAATTTGGATGAAAAAGGAAGACGTAAACCTAATTTCCCATTTATACATGCACTGTCCATGTAACTATGCAAGCACACTTAATAACTCCTTAACTTTATTACTTCAAGGCCACATTTTTTTTTTCAATTCACAGCCAACCCTTGTAAGTTGTAAACCAAGGTGAATTTATAGTAGACACAGTATATACATTTTATTAAATACGGAGTAAAATTCTTCTAATACACTATATTCTCATCGGATGGACTACCACATATACCTCAAATTGAAGAAATAAAATTGGATGTAAGCTATAGTGGCAAATTGGCAATTATGTTGATGATTTTTTTTTTTTTACAATTCTTCTAACTTATTATAGTATTTGTTCTATATTAAGTCCAACATCCTTGAGATGAGATTCAAACATGTGACCTCTCGACTCCTCTTTGGAAGTGTCACGGTGATGCCTCAATGAATGATTGAAATAATTATAATAGTGATAGCTATGACTAACCAAATCATGGGTATATACCTAACCACCACACAGGTGGGTCAACATTAATTCTCTAAACAACCATTTTTAAAGAGATGATTACCCCATATGACTAGAACTCTTTAACTTTTCTCACAAATGATATTAATTTTCTCCTAAAATCTTGTTTAAATTGTCCTATTGAATTAGTAAATTAATAAATAAATAAATAAATTATTTTTATGGACTATTATACCCTTAGGTATAATATTTGTTACATTGGCTCCAGGATTCAAACCCTAGTTGTAGCCGCCCACCATCCCTCCACTCAGTCGCCCATTGTCCCGTAGAATCAAAGCCCGCTTTGAGCCACACTTTTGTCCACCGCCACCATCCTGCCGCGCCCTCAACCATCCTCCTGCAGCCACACGATGTCTGGCCACCTCCAACCTCCCGTCCTGCAGCCGCCAACTGTCCGACATTCACCTCCATCCTCCCGCAGTCCCGCCGTGCAACCGCCAACCGCCGCTCAACATCCTCGGCTCCTCTTCTTTTTCTCCTTTTTTCGGTCTGTATTTCTTGAAATTGGGTTGGTAATTAATGTTCCCAAAGAGTGGCGCAGGGCCGTCGCTCCACTAGAGAAAACCTAATACTGTTCTTTTTTGCATATAAGTACTCTTGTTCAAATATGAATTGACTTCAAGGAATACTTTGAAGATAAACTGCTTTATTTTCCTAAAATTTAAAGGAAATGAGGGGGAAAGGGAAGATTACTCAGTTACTAGTTTAGTTAAATAAATAAATTGTCAATATGAGAAATTGACGTGAATACAAATTACTAAAAGCTATTATGAAAACTGAGCAACACCTATGCACCAATATCTAATTGTTGCGAACCTAACCAATCTCATAACCCTTGATGTGGAGGGCAAAAAATGCTATAGTAAAGAATTACTCTATAGGATTTAGTAATCTTCAAAATCATATTGTTCTTCATAATCATAGGTTTCAGGTTCTGCATAATTTTCCTCATTGACATATTCTCTTTCATCCATCCACTCTTCTCCGGTCTCCTCTGTTATACCATCCAGGTAGCCATCATTGTTGGAGCTTATGTCATCATTTAGGCTTTCCTTGAAATTATTGTTATCAGGGAGTGGCTGCCAGGAAAAATTAGGTCATCTATGTTATGCACATGCAAATCAAGACAAACAAAAACCAAGGTTTTCATTCATTCCTAAATGTGTGATAATGGTTGCAGGAAAAATAACACTGAATTGCATGAAATGGATGTCAAAAGGTTATAAACCCCATCACTCTAAACTTTAAGCCTGGTTTCTGAACTAATAACTAAATAGATTTTTGCGATTTCTACTTTGTTTTAAATTCTGAAAACAGAACAAAAACATAAATACAGAAAATGTTTGGATTGATGATACATATCTACCACATTTCTATTTTATACGGAGTAAAAATTCAGAAAAATTAAAATCATATGCACATGTTTATATGTTTCAAGAAATTAAAAGAAGTGAAAAACATAGATCAAGAAAAATATATAATAAATAGAATATGAAATGTTTCAAATGAACCCTGGGTACTAATTTGTATGATTTGGAGATACTGGTGTGTAGCACAGTCCTTGACAGTGAGATTAGACATTGTTTACTTGAAGACATTTTCTAAAAAAGAGGTCTTATTGGGGTTATTATAGTCTAGCTTTTTTTGCTTCCTCATCTTTTTCCAGATATAAGTAACATATCACCTTTTCTTTTCTAACATTGGCTTTCTAATTTTAGTATTATTTTGTTACATCCCTTGGACAACTTAGATACAGCAGTGGACGCATCAACGTATAGAACTGAATATTGAAAACATCATCCAATCACAGCCCAATAAAGAATGGATGCCAATCAAATAAGAGAAAAGCAGCAAAAACATGTAGACTCCTCTAGATACAAGGTAAGATTACATACAGTCTCATCGAAAAGTGATTCCAATACATCGAAGTTCACCAGTAGACTCCTCTGCATTCAAGGAACATTATGAAATAAATAAAGTGATATTGTATATTATGCCATGCACAGAGTAACGAGAAAAAACGCTTGAAAATAAAGATGTTAGAGTCAATAGAATGGTTGTAAGGTACTATGTTAACATATAAGCCGATCAATATGGCCATAAGTATATTAAAGGAGCCATCGAAACACATTAGTATATCATTCATTCTTTATTACGCAGGAGGCCCATTGATGTAATACATATTACATACATTATTTATTTGTGCCTAAAAAACATTCTCACAAACCAACATGAAATACTCAAAATGAGATGATTGAAGTAATTGTCCCACACCGGAACGGTATAAACAATAAAACACGATATAAGATGTTGGGCTACTCCTATCAAGTTGAAATTTTAGGATGGAACCCCGGATCTTAACATGTACCAAATAGGGGTAGGCATGTTGGTTTGGTTCGACTGAACCGTACCAAACCGAAATAACCCGAACCAAAACCAAACCATTTACAATTTGGTTTGATAACATTTCTTCCAAACCGTATTAATCCAAACCGAACTGAAACCGAGAAAACCCGAATAAAATCAAACCGAACTAAAACCGAACTAAAAATTTAACAAATCCATACCGAACCAAACCGACTAAACTGAACCTAACTGAAAGTTAGTATTTCAAACCGAATAGAACTGAAAACTGAAAAAAACGAACTGAAAACCGATGAAACCGAACCGAAAATCGATATCCCCACCCCTAGTTGTGGTTGGATTATTTTTTAGACTCATGATTATGGTAGCTTGTTAGAGGTCTGTTTGGATCATTTATACATACTAATACTGTCCAGCCCGATTTGGCTAGAGGAAGCGTGTTGAAGTATTTGTTCCATAATACAATAAAACACTATATAAGATTTTGAACTATTTCTATCGGGTTGAACTTTTAGGATGGAACCACATGTTTTAACAAGATGCATGCAAACATTTTAACATTCTTGATTGCTTGCTGATACAAACATAGTACCTTTCTTTTACTCAACATCTTTTGTGTGGCCTCTGCTGCAGTTTTGGCAGGACCAGAATTCTTCAGTTCTGCAGCTCTTTGTTGTTGCTTTTCCTGCACATATTTCAAAACTCAGTGCTACATAGAATAATGCCTCTACTAGTCTTGATGACAGAATACCAACACATAAATTAGATTTCTCTGGTATGGAACTCCCTTGATGCAGGCGAGGAAACAGTACCACATAACACACTAGAAAATGAATTGTTGAATCCATTTTAGAGATAGCATATCTGAAGTTCTTTGCATTTTATTTATTTATTCATTTCTTATGTACCATTACATTTGAGAGCTAGTATCTTATAGCTTAATAGAGTACATGTAACTGACTATATCTGACTAGGAAGAACTTCACTGAAGAAGCAAATTATGGAAAATATTTAATTCTGAGTGATCAACAAACAGCCAGTGTGAAATATAGAGTAATTGATGCAATGTAGCAAAACGCTCCAGACACACCAAACAACTCTATGTTTGTTGTAGTGTAATGTGACGGACTGCGTGATGGAAAATATGAATTACGACAAACAAAAGGTAATTTAATGAAATGGAATATCCGAATATCCATTTCTTTACTACATCGTTACTTTTTTAATGTAAGTACAACATTTAACATTATGTAGAATAAATATTTATTTTTTTAATTTTAATTTTTCATTTTCCACTTTTAACTTTTTCATTTTTTATTTTAAATTCAATGGAGATGGGGGGCAATGCATTTGTAATTCATATTGCATACAACTTTAGTGAAAAGTTGATGGCGCATTTTTAATTATATGGCAAAACGCCAAATAAAATGTCAAAGCATACACAATCATCGAATTAAAGCTATCACGATTCGCGGTTGATTGCATCATAAAAACTATAGTCCAAGTGTTTTCTGAATAAGTAAAATGTCAAATCAAACACAAAAACTGAATTAATTCTGCCACATTACATGGTTGATTACATCATAAAAACTATGGCACAAGAGTTTTCCACTTTTCTGTATTAACGAATCATTTATTTTTTACTGTGCCCCTAACCAAAGGGTTTCTTTTATTATAGGGGGGTGTCCCCAATATGGATTCTTAAGAATTTTAAAGGAATAAGATTTTGATGGATTTATATGAAATTGTATAGAATCTGTGAGAATTTAATCAAATTCCATGGAATTTGAAATCCATGAAATCTGAAATCCCTTCCGATTCTCAGCTTCTATCCTAGATTTCTCGCCACCACGAAGCCCCAATTTCTCTTTCACCTTGCTTTGCCGCTAGCCTGCTTCTACGATTTCTGTGTGTCTCCTTCCTTAAGGCTGCGGCAACTAAAGAAGGAAAGGAACGGTATACTGAAACCTATCGAATCTGAAACAGTATACTAATAACCAAGCAACTGACTTTTTGTTGGGTTGCTAATTGATAAGAACAAGATTGATTGAACAGATTGATTCTCTTTCTCCGGTCTCCATCTTAAACCTCAAAAGTGGAATGATAAACAGGGGCTGAAATTCGAGCACTGCTTCTAGCTTTGTTTTGCTCCTGGACGGGAAATCCATTGAAATCCGAAGGGAGTGCAGAGATTTTCAGCGGTATTCTATCCTTCATATTTTAGCTTTGAAATCCATGTAAATCCTTAACAATCCAAGAGTTAAAGAATCCATGGACAATTTGAGGATAGCTGAATTTTCGTAGACTCCATACAAATCCAAATTGAGGACACCCAAACTTTGATGGAATTCTAAATTCCTTTAAAAACTTTGAGAATCCATATTGGGGACACCCCCCTTAGTTATATAATAAGAAAATATAACATTTAGTTATAGTTGTTGTTATAGTATAATTTAGCTGTAGGTGCTACTTTTTCAGATGTTAAGCATAATTTACGATGAGTAAGCCCTTAAAATCACTGCAACATAATTTTAAAATAAACCTTTTTGCTCTTTGCCACGGCAGCGGCTGCTGCTGCTGAAAGCTTCTGTGCAGCTTCCATTTCCTCTGGGTTGGTAAAACTGGACTCAAAAGCCTTTTTTGCAGCCAATGCTGCTGCTTCTTTAGCTGCTTGTTCCTGTAATTCAAAAGAGACTTTAAATTTCACATTCATGTATGGCATGAATGTCTGATGATATGCATTCCAAGACTAGTCAAATTTAAAAAAAAAACTACATGCTGCGAGCAGATAACCCCAGAGCACCCATCTTAGGCTAACCGCAACCCAGCCCGTCAATAAATCTAATTTCACACCACTTTATACGTATTCATCCAGTCAATTCAGTTTTTCTCTGCAACCCAACACCGTCAATATATCCACTCAGCACATATTTTTTCTAAGTAAATGCATAAATCCTTACTTTTTTTTATTACACATCATTTATGTGATAATTTTATTTTTACCAACAATTATTATTTAAAAAGTCAAACATTCTGATATTAAAAAAATAAAAAATGTGATTTTTTTGTAAGTATAAAAAATGCCTACTTGAGTTCAATTTGAAATAAATTTAAAACTATTAATTTTTTTTTAAAGAATTTAAAACTATTACTACGTATTTGATTAATAATATAGCTTTACACCAAACCAATTTTTTTTAATTAATTCCCTCCTGCAAAAAGAAGCCAAGAAACCAGGTCACCCCACTCTTTTTCATCCGCAGCAAATCAGCTAACTCCCACGCAGCAACATAGTCCACTTATTCACTCATCAGCTTGTCAAGCGCGTTGATGGTTGAGGGCCCTTTCTTTACTCCACTGCGCAAGTCACCTCCAGATGAGAGGCAATTGCCCGTCCAGGAGTCGCCCCCCAAGGTTCTCCATACTCCCTATGACTCCTTCCTATACAAAATTTCTTCCCGGTTGCAGCTCTTTTGGGGGTGAAAACCTCACATTTGGTTTTTCACCCCCACCCATAGCAATCAGCCTTAGAGTCTTCTATTATCTCCATATACTCCACTGTATCTTGCAGCATATAAATGGTAAAAGAAGTAAGATATTAGAAATGACCTCAAGATACTCTCTGTTCATTTCCTCCCATATGATCTTTTTCAGCCGCTTCTCCTCCGCATTGTTTAGATATGTGTCAACCTGCCAGCATTGCATGTTCCACATGATGGTTATGACAAAATTATTAACTCAAACTGCAAATATTTATTCAGAATCACAGACAAAGGAGGCAAGAAGTATAAGCAGAGCTGGATAAAAAATATTCTCTTTTATTCAAGAATAATCTAGGTCATCAATAGTTCAAGTCAACAAATAAATTTTGTCAAGTACGAGATTAATTATTTATGGCAGTTGTACTATAGTACCTCACAGAAGAGTCCATTGGCCACACATGACCCCGCTTTGGGATGTATGTAGCGTTACATTATCATGACACATATAGATTATTATATACTACGTATTAAAATACACACAAATTATATCCAGTATAATACTGTATCCCGTTTTTATAAAATACTGATTAAGATGTGAAATCAGCTAGTGGGTTGGACCAAGTGGACCTTATCATTTTATCACAGTACTAACATAATAATTCTAGTACAATAGGTGAAGAGATAATGGGTCTTAAATAATTTACTTTTCAGTTGTATTCCTTTGGTGTCCCGTTATTGATTCATCCCTATCACAGTTGTACTAATTTTGGTTAGTTTTTGGGGACTGGGGGTTCAAGAATGTTTTCATACAAAATCTATCTAGACTATAAACTGGGAATTTGGTGAACAATGAAGACCACGGGATTGTTTGAAAACAAAGTGTAGGAAAAATCCATAAACATTTCAAATATTGTTCATTTCCAACAACATATCAAACAGTCATGATTCTATTATCTTCGTTATTTCCTAATACAGTTTTAGTTGCATGCGAATAAATTAGTTTATGTTTCTTTTGGTATATAGGGCTCTTGTAATAGCTCTATTGAGGATCTGTTGTATTTATTAAAGTACTTTTAGAAAATTAACTTTTGAGTATTGACTAGGGTCAGACACCGATTAATTCCACCATCACATTTATTCTTTATTAATATCTCTCTCTTGAAATATTCACCATAGATCCAAAAGTTGATCTATCTCCACTATATTACACTTTCATTCTCTTGGTCTCAGTCTAAACGAGTATACGCGTTCTCTTAACACAATGTCACACACTATGTTAATTATGTTGATGAACTAGACAACTAGTTGATACATGCACTGAACAGTGGAAAGTATAAAAAATTAAACTCATACAACAATTTGTCCTTCCTATAGTGACTCCTAATTAAAATTGAGCCGAAACCAAATGATACTAATAAAATAAAAGTAACAGAAATATTACATACCTCCACATCATCAATGTCGGATAATCTATCAGATTCATCAGAACCTTCAGAACTGATACCATCGACTCCATGTAACTTATCTGGAGGTCCATCCTGCATAGCTTCTGATGTGGAAGCAACATCTGCTAGACATGTAAACAGGTCTTGCAATTATATACCCATCAATACTTCAATAAAATTTTCATACTTCTATATTACCCAAGTACTTTCAAGATTTTAATCGTGCCTTACCTATCAATTCAGGTTCTTTTCCCTGCAAAGTTTCAATCCCATCTGCATTTTGAATAGGACCTTCTGTAGACTGCTGTGAAGAGAACACAACAAGAAAATGAATGGAAATAAATATAGGGTAACCACATTCTCTTCATCTATAAAAAAAATAGTAAGGGAACAAAAGAGCAAATTCCTAAAAGAGAAAAACACAAAAAAGCGATGAAGTTAGGGGATTTGATTAACAGTATTGGACACACACACACATATGACAGTGTTGGACACACACACACACATATGACAGTATTGGTCATGTACTCATGTTTCAGTTTCCAAAGTTCAGGAAGAGATTCAAGTTTCAAAATTCTGCTCCAAGTTTCTACTTTTAAGTTCAATTACCTTCCAACTTTTGTTATCAATTTTCAAGTTTAATGTTTTGTAACAATACTATTAAATTTCCAATACTCGTTATGTTTAGGGTTTAGGTTCCTATTCCTATTTAGTTTAGACCCATTATTTCTATATGAGAGCAGTGTAATAGTTTTTAAAACTATGAAGTTATAAGATAAAAATAGTGTCATGAAAAGTAGTTGTTAATCATTTTTCATCCCCAATCAGCACTGGAAGAAACAAACAGAAAAGCAATAACAAAGTTAAGTACCGTCAGATCTTTGCCATTATTCTCAGCTTTGGAAGACATGAGAGAATTGGAATCCTCACAGTTATCACCATCAGCTCGCTTTGCCATTAGCCTTTCTTTTTTGGCCCGTTGGAACGCTGGAGGTTCTGATCCCCCATCAAACCCACCTGAAAGTGCTAGAAACTGCAAAAAGTACAAAACTTCAGGTTTTTTAAGGGATTAGTGAAGGTATATAAATTGAACTCAAATAGATGTGTTACATCAGTAAAACAGCTTTCACAAAGCCCATGGGAAAAGTGAGGTATGCCACTCCCTTTGTGTTCGCACAACAATTCACTCTTTCCAGATTCTTTTAACACGGAATATTGTGCGGCCACCAGCCTCTGCTCTTTCTCAAGCTCCACAGCCCTCACATTGAACTCTTCAATCTTTTTAGATGAAATACATAATAACAAAAAAATCAACTCCAAAAGACACTTGATATGCACAATGCAGTTCACAAAGGTCAAGACGGCGAAAATAATCCAATTGCCAAACTTAATCTTATGATGAAGAGCAAACTTAAGCTCTATTAAATTATAAGTTCATTAATTTGAAAACTAAAAAACATAGGTCCGATGTTCAACCGGAAGTCGATAGCTGTTGCAATTTTACCACAACATATGTACACAAACGTATATACATATATAAATACATGTATGTATGTATGTATACATACATGTATATGTATGTAAATATATACGTATGTATACATAACTTCATGTGGGAAACTTCATTACAATGAAACCTTCCCCGTGCTTCTATTATATCCATTATCTCTAGGAATATATTTTGTAATATATACGTGTGAAATATATTAAAACAGTTTACGAATAGGAATTGGAATATATTTAGAATATGCTATAAAATATTACGTGGTATTATATTATAGTACTTATTTGAATATTCTATCTTTGTAAGGTATACTTACAAAGAAATCTCATCAATTCTCAATATTCTAACTCAATTCCTTTCAACCTGGTTCTTTTGGAGCAAAGTTGTTTTATTGTTTGCTTGACATTTGACAACTGATTAGCCCGTTGAAGGGTCTGTTTGACTTCTTTAGTTGTCCTTTACGTTGTCTACTCCGGTTTGGGCTAAGGATCTGTTGATCTTAAATAGGGACTTAAAGCTTCCAATAGTTATACAAAACAATTCTCAATATTCTACATTAATTCCTTTCAACACAATGCAGGGTTAGTTTGTCTAACTTTATTAGCATATACGTACACATACATGACCTCACATTGAACTCTTCAATATTTTAGATGAAATATGTAATAACAAAATAATCAACTCCAAAAGACACTTGATATGCACAATGTAGTTCACACAGGTCAAGACGGTGAAAATGATCCAATTGCCGAAGTGTCAAACTCAATCTTATGATAAAGAGCAAATTTAAGCTCTATTAAGTATTAAATTATAAGGTCATTGATTTGAAAACTAAAAAACAAAGGTCCATTTTCAACGGTCTTGATTGTTGTTACAGTTTTACCACACCATATGTACACTGATAGGGATGTGGGTGCTAGTCTAGAAAATAGGAGTAGGTATGGGCGGGTATACAAGAGGAGGCATAAATAGACTAGCCCGGTTATTAGTTAAATTCTGTTAAGCAACTAATTTTTTGGCTTGAGAGTATGATGGAATAAAGCAAAATGGCTCACTAAACTGTCTGCGCTTCTTTGTTATGAAGCAGCAGTCAGTCCATGCATTTTTTGACGCGATTTTCACTTTGGGTCATCCGGAAACAGTCTCTTTGTGCTTCAGTACAGGAGTACAGGGGTAAGACTGCGTACATCTGACCCCCCTTTACCCCACCGTAGGTGGGAGCCTTTGCGGCACTGGGGTAAATGATGATGATGAACTAATAACCGCCTTCCTTTAGGGAAGGGTATAAATAAGAGTTCCTGCAGTAGGTTGGCAGGCTGTTTTGGTCATTTGGCTTGGGACTGGGACTTAGGAGTATTATCTCCTCTTGGCTTGTATACGGTTTACCCTGTTAATTGTTGCTTGTGAAATAAGATACTGGATCGTGTTCTTATTCTACTGCCAGATTTACCTTCCTTTCTGTGAGAATTGTTTGAATTGTGTTTGTGATCTTAATTCCTGTGCGAGATACTTATCATTGGTATCAGAGCGAGTCGATCGCTGGATGAGACAAACTCGCGCGAAGAAAATGGAAGGACGTATGATGGCCGTTGAACAAAGTTTGGAGGATATGCAGAACAGGAATCAACAGGAGATGCGTGAGTTGCAGTCGAACCTGGAAAGGAGTATGGCAGCGAACATGGCAGTCTTGCAAGCTAGTATCGCGGCCTTGCAACCGCGGCCGCATGGTCATTCAAGGAGTAATTCGCATCATTCTTCGTCTTCGCATCGGACATCTCATCATTGCCGTCATACGAGAGAGGATGACAGTTCAGAGGGATCAGATCACCAATCGGTTTCAAACCGGAGCCGAAATCGTCAACATCATCATCGGAATCATCATCCTATAGGGAGGAAAATAGATTTGCCTCTTTTCAATGGACAAGATGCTTTCGGTTGGCTGGTCCGCATGAATCGCTACTTCCGACTGAACAGAACAGATGATGAAGAGAAGATTGATATAGCTGTTATGGCTATGGAGGACCAAGCCTTAAGCTGGTTTCAGTGGTGGGAAGGTCAATCACAACATTTGACTTGGACGCAATTGACGAAGGATCTAACGCTGAGATTTCATCCAGAATTGGTGGAAAATGCTCTTGGACCTCTGTTCAGTCTCAAACAAACAGGGTCCGTTGCTGAATACAGGGACAAGTTTGAGATAGCCATGGCATCGCAAGGTCATTTAACTGAGGAGGTGTTGAGAGGGGCTTTTGTGAATGGGTTGAAGCGAGATATCCAAGCAGAATTGAAACTAAATTCTGCCAGAACCCTAGCTGCAGTCATGAATACCTCTACTTTGATTGATAACAAAAATATTGAAGTAAGTAACATGAGAAGTGAGGAGGAAGGAAGGAAGAAGGGGCAAATTAAGAATGCCAACTTGATTCAGTCTCAAATATGGGGGGATGGAAACAGATGGAAGAGTCATTCCTCTAACTCTCTGATGGGAACCAGAACTAACATAGACAATAAGAGTAAGGAGGAGATGAAATTGCCTGAAATGAGAAGAAGTGGGCCCAGACTGTCACAAGAAGAATTACTGGATAGGAGCAGGAGAGGGCTATGCTTTAAGTGCGGAGAATTATGGGGAAAAGGCCATGTTTGTAAAATGAGGAACTACAAAATGGTTTTGGTAGAAAATTCTGAAGGAGAGGAAGCTTCTGATTTGGAAGAGGATGAGTCTGAAATGGAACGACCTGTTTCCATGGAAAATAGAACAATGCAGCTGACTGTTTTGAGCAAGGAAGGCATTCCTGCTATGAATACCTTTAAAGTCAAAGGCTATTTGGACTGGGATAGAGGTAAACAGATGGTGAGTGTGCTGATAGACACTGGTGCAACCCACAACTTTATATCCCAAAAGTTAGTGGATAAGTTGAGGCTACCTTTCAAACCTATTCAAGGTTATAAGGTGCAGATAGGCAATGGGGAGTGTATTCCTAATATTGGGAAATGTGACAAAGTTCGGTTGGAGATTCAGGGCAATGAACTGAGGCAGAATTATTATGTGCTAGAACTGGGAGGCACTGACATTGTACTGGGAATGGAATGGCTGGCTGGGTTGGGAGATATGGAGGTTAACTTCAGGAACCAGAGTTTGAAATGGGAGTCCCAAGGTGCAAGTCACTGCATAGAAGGAAGTTCAACTTTGAATCAAATGGAGGTGCCATTGGAAGTTATGATTAACATACTGCATCAGACTGGTGATGGTTATCTCTTATGCTTTGAGGGACACTTGAAGGGGCTAGAACAGAAGGAAAGAGATGGAGAGGTTTGGCAGGGCATCATAGCTGAATTCCTGAAGTTTTCTCACCCAATCTGAAGTTCCCACCTGAAAGAGACTGATCATGCAATCAACATTAAAGAAGGTGCAAATATTCCTAATCTCAGACCATATAGGTATACCTATGACCAAAAGAATGAGATTGAAAGGATTATTGATGAAATGTTGAAGGCAGAAATTATTAGGCATAGTAACAGTCCCTATAGTAGTCCGGTGTTACTGGCCAGAAAAAAAGATGGGGGTTGGAGATTTTGTGGGGACTATAGGGCACTGAATAAGATTACTATACCTAATAAATTTCCTATTCCTGTGATAGAAGAACTGTTGGATGAATTAGGAGAGGCCAGGATCTTCTCTAAGTTGGATCTTAAGTCTGGATACCACCAAATAAGGATGAAGGCTAGTGACGCCCATAAAACTGCCTTCAAGACACACGAAGGACACTATGAATACTTAGTCATGCCCTTTGGGTTGACTAATGGCCCTGCAACATTCCAAGCACTCATGAATGAAGTATTAAGGCCCTTTCTGAGGAAATTTTCATTGGTTTTCTTTGATGATATACTCATCTATAGTAAGACCAAACTGGAACATGAGCAACATTTGAGGAGGGTTTTGAAAGTATTAAAGCAGAATCAACTGGTAGTGAATCAGAAAAAGTGCTCTTTTGGACAACAACAATTGGTCTATTTGGGCCATATTATCTCTGAAAAAGGGGTGGCTGCTGATCCCAGCAAGATAGATGCTATGAGTAAATGGCCAGTTCCTAAGGACCTAAAAGAACAGAGGGGGTTCCTAGGTCTGACAGGATATTACAGGAGATTTGTCAAAGGGTACAGTCATATTGCTGCACCATTGACTTCACTGCTGAAGAAGGATGGGTTTAAGTGGAATAGCAAGGCAGAAAGAGCTTTCGAAGAGTTAAAAAGTGCTATGATTTCTGTGCCAGTTTTAAGGGTTCCAGATTTCAATAAAATCTTTGTGGTGGAGACGATGCTTCTGGAAGAGGATTAGGGGCGGTTCTTATGCAAGAAGGTGGTCCCTTAGCATATATGAGTAAGGAATTAGCTCCTAAACATTTGGCGAAATCAGTTTATGAAAAGGAGCTAATGGCCATTGTGTTTGCTATCCAAAAGTGGAGGCCTTACCTATTGGGGAGAAGATTTGAGATCCATACAGATCAAAAAAGCCTAAAATATCTAACTGAGCAAAGGGTGATGGGAGAGGATCAACAGAAATGGATTGCCAAGCTAATGGGGTACAATTTCACTATCATATACAAGCCTGGAATTGAGAACAAGGCAGCTGATGCCCTTTCCAGAAAATCTACCTATTCAGCATTATCTACTGTGACTTGCCAGGAATGGGAGGGGTTGGAAGATGAATTGCAGCAGGATAATGTATGCAGAGAGTTAATCCAGAAGATATTTGAGCAGCCAGATAAATATCCAAACTATAAGATGAGGGGAGGTATCCTATACTACAAAGGTAGGATGATGTTGCCTAAAGGATCAAACAGGGTGAAGAGCATACTCAATGAGTATCATGATTCTGCAGTAGGGGGACATTTAGGTTACTTCAGGACCCTTAAAAGGATTTCCAATCTATTTTATTGGGCAGGTATGAGGAAGGATATCAAGGATTACATTCTGGGATGTGAAGTACTATCCTCCGTCTCTTTTTAATCGCAACGTGTTGAATTTTATACTATTCACATGTTCTACTTTGACTACATTTTATATTATTATTTTATGAAAATTATTTTTTTTAAATTATATTGTTCAATTCATCTCATTACAAAGTTTCAAAATCTAATTTTTAAATATTTTATACTAATAGGGATTAAGATATAATTACGGCCAAAGATGTGTGTTGGCAAGTGTGAAATGTTGACCGTTGCAACTAAAAAAGAACGGAGGAAGTATGCCAAAGGAATAAGTATGAGGCCCTTAAACCTGCAGGGCTGCTGCAGCCTCTACCTATTCCTCAACACATTTGGGCTGATATTAGTATGGATTTCATGCGTGAAGCCCACCCATTGTACTAGACCGATCAACTAAGCTCATTAACCGGGATCAATTAATTAATAAAGCCAATTGGGCCTAACAGAAGACCATGACCCGCGAAAGGAACCCACATCTAGGTTGACGTGACAAGCACGCCTTGAGCTTTGACGAGATTCTAGCGAGGTCAGACTCACCTTAGGGCTTAGTTGTGGTGGATAGACTGACAAAGTTTGCTCATTTCATACCTTTGGCTCATCCATTTAATGCCAAGGGGGTGGCGGAAATTTTTGTACAAGAAGTGGTCAAGATTCATGGGTTTCCCAAGACTATTGTCAGCGATCGAGATAGTCTTTTCCTTAGTTCTTTCTGGACAGAATTATTCAGGATGGTGGGCATCCAGCTGAAATACAGCACTGCCTATCATCCTCTAGACTGAAATTGTGAATAGGTGTTTGGAAACCTATTTGAGATGTGTCACTGGGAAGAAGCCAAGACAGTGGGTGAAATGGCTTCCATGGGCAGAGTATTGGTTCAATACTAATTATCACAGCTCCCTAAAATGCACTCCATATCAGGCCTTGTTTGGACAGGAACCTCCACCTATCATCAGAGGCGATGTAAGCTTGACTGCAGTAGAAGAGGTGGCTAGATTGACAGCAGAAAGGAATTCTATGTTGAATGAGTTGAAAGAGAATTTGGCCAAGGCTCAAAACTTGATGAAGCAGCAGGCGGACAAGCATAGAAGGGGGATGAAACTGGAAGTTGGGGACATGGTGTTCTTGAAGATCCAACCTTATAAGATGAAGATCCTTGCTAAAAGAATCAATCAAAAGCTTAGTCCTAGATATTATGGGCCTTATGAGGTGGTGGAAAAACTGAATGCAGTTGCTTTCAAGCTGAAGTTACCGGATGGGAGCAGGATACACCCTGTATTTCATATATCATTGCTTAAGAAGGTGTTGAAGCCTACTGTGACCTATCAGAATCTTCCACATTGTCTCACTGAAGAGTGTGAGTTGCAAGTGAAACCTGAAGCTGTGAAGGGTAGCAGACTTAATCAAGAGGGAAAGCAGGAAGTTCTAATTCATTGGAAAGATCTCCCGGAGTATGAAGATTCATGGGAGGAACTGCAGACCATCCAAAATCAGTTCCCTGAATTTCAACTTGGGGACAAGTTGATTCTCCAAGAAGGGTATTGATAGGGATGTGGGTGCTAGTCTAGAAAATAGGAGTAGGTATGGGCGGGTATACAAGAGGAGGCATAAATAGACTAGCCCGGTTATTAGTTAAATTCTGTTAAGCAACTAATAACCGCGTTCCTTTAGGGAAGGGTATAAATAAGAGTTCCTGCAGTAGGTTGGCATGCTGTTTTGGTCATTTAGCTTGGGACTGGGACTTAGGAGTATTATCTCCTCTTGGCTTGTATACGGTTTATCCTGTTAATTGTTGCTTGTGAAATAAGATACTGGATCGTGTTCTTATTCTACTGCCAGATTTACCTTCCTTTCTGTGAGAATTGTTTGAATTGTGTTTGTGATCTTAATTCCTGTGCGAGATACTTATCATTCCAGCCCAACTGGTTGTGAGGTTACCGTGCCTAGTGGAAGGTCTCGAGTTCGAAACCTGCTAGGCACATAAGGGTTTGAAACTCATGGAGTGAGTTTCAGCCCTGATTACTCCAGCCCCCAGCCCCCCGGAGTAAAAAATAAAATAAAAAAAATAAATAAATAAAATACATGTATCTTTGTATAGAACATGTATATGTATGAAAATGTATACATACATATGTGAACATAAGTTCATTTGGGAAAATCCATTACCATGTGAAATATACATCCATTATATGTTCTCTATGAATATATTCACTAATATATACATCTGAAATATATTAAAATAGTTTATGAATAAGCATTGGAATAATTTTAGAATGTGCTATAAGATATTATTATATTACAGAGTCTTATATGAATACTCTATCTTTGTAATGTATACTTAAAGGGGCTTAAACCTCCCAATAGTTATATAGAAAAATCTCTTCAGTTTTCAATATCTAACTCAATTCCTTTCAACCTGGTTTTAGAGCAAAGATGTTTTATTGTTTGTTTGACACCTGAGTAGCCCATTGAGGGGTTTGTTTGACTTCTTTAATTGTCCTTTAAGTTTTCTACTCCGGTGTGTGCTAAGGATCTGTTGATCTTAAATAGGGACTTAAACCTTCTAATAGTTATATAGAAATTTCTTTAATTCTCAATATTCCATACCGATTCTTTTCTACATTATGCAAGGTTAGTTTGTCTAATTTTAATGGTATGTATATATACATACATGACTAGCAGTTACAAATTCATTCTTTAACTAATGAGCATATTACTACTATATTAGTGGAACCAAGGAACCAATGAGCCCTCTTAAATGAAAAACAGCAAAAATTAGGAATGCTAACATCAGAAGAAAAAAATGTTAAAACCAACACAAACGAAGCAAGGCCTTCACCATTAGTGGTCCTTGAAAGCACATACCGTTAAACTCCCGGAATCGGTATTTTCAAATTCAATTAAACGCTTTGTCAGTGTTGCTTCACAAATATGCACAACTCTGATCTGTCAATACACATTAACAACCATAACTATTCGTATTCAATCCATAAGTGAAGCCATGAAGATAAGACAATAAGACTACTCATCTGGTATAGTACAACAACAACATCCAAGTCTTAGTCCCAAACGATATTGGGGTCGGCTAACATGAAATAAAAAAGGAAATTCCCAAACTAGGAGTAAAACAAGGTAATAATGCAAAAATGGTGCCAAAATGGGAGTGAGTGTTTTAAATTCCCAAAATAGGAGTACAATTTTGTGAGTAGACAAAAATACCCGTTTGGCACTGCTACCAATAGCAGATAGCAGATAGCGATGCCATAAATAGCAGGAGCATAGAAGATTAGGTAAAATAAATTACATATAGTGAGAATAGTGAGAAGAGAACAACTAGTGTTCGAAAATGTATAAGACACTAGGCAAGGGCCTAGTTGGGGTTTAAAGACTTTAAAAGGGACCTAGGCGCGACCTAGAAAACAAGAAAAATTAAATGTAGTATACATTTTACTTGCAGTGAAATGTAGGTCTGGATCAGATTTGTGGCTGGAAAATCAGCTTGAAGGATGAGATATTGCATAAGAGTTGATACTTGTGTGCTTGATATGGAACTAGTCATATACAGGGGACCAATAGAATACTTTCAAGACTCGAATTCGAATCCAGTATAGTATTCGTGTCAAATTCAAACAAAATTTTCCAAATCCAATCTGATACCTCTAGATTGAGTTTGGTTCGTTTACAGACATACTCAAAGAATTTCAAAAACTGAACTACTTAAATATCAGTTGCCCCTCACGAGAAAGTGAGGCTTCATCTACATGTGATATGCCATGTGCTCGAGGCATAGAAATGTGAGGATTCATTATTGATTAACTTTAACCCACAAAAAAAGACCGCACTTAACGAGTGTAATGACCTCCTACCTTCTAGTAGTAATTTAGGAGGCCTAAGCGCACCCTGCGCCTTGACTGCCTGCTAGAATGCTAGAAAACCCAATTTAAGTCTATCTACTTACTTACAATGTCCAACTTAGAGCACTTCAGTCCATATGAAAGAGCAGCAATGTAAAGTGCAGCTCCGCATAACCCACTCGGTTTTCTCCCTGTCTACAAACAATTTTGTTCCATACAGAGTAGACTCCGATTCAGCTGAAATGTATACAAGTACAGAAATCAAATTCCAATTTGCACATCAAAGATATCTAACCTGCATCCAATCTCGCTTCATGCTAGCAACAATACGAAGTGCAGTTCGGGAAACGTCGGGATTCATCTCACCAAATAAACCTGTATAAACGTAGTGAAGTACAGGCAAGTCATATACTTTATGCACAATTAAAATCATAAAACTAGACCAAGGAACTTATTCCTTTTCACCAGTGGCCAGAAAACGAAATGGATCATCTTTTTAGAGCATATTGATTACAGCAGTAAATATATAATGACTGGTAAAATATGCATAATGCTAACACATGCTTCACAATATGAAACTACAGACAAGGAGAAAATGATAAATGAAAAGCTAAGTAGCACAGAGATGGGGAACGCAAAACTGGAGATGAGAAACAGAATTTCTAAAAAATATAGGATATGAAAACTGTGGGAAACGTGTAAATATAAAAGATATACGGATGTATATGGAAATATGTTTCCATATATGTATACATGTTTTTCATTTATATAATTGCACATCATTTTTCATATAACTTTGTTTGATAACCAATAATAAATACACTCCGTGTGTTCAAATATAGAAACTAAATACATATTAATAGTTTAATACATAACTAAACATGAAACATATTACTACGTGCATTTCTGTTATGAAATATCAAAATGTTGCTAGGAAAAGATCACATTAAAATTCACTAAAAAGATTAAAAACACACTACTTCCTACATGGAATCTGATAAAAAAGATAAAGGAATTAGAAACCTAAAGTTTTTGAAATGCAAATTATTTAAGGAAACAAGTTTCTGAATTCTTCTTAATTACAGAAACGGTCCGGAAAAGGGAATTTGAAGTTTCGAGTTTCCTGCACGCTTCCGAGTTTCTGAAACGGGGAAACATGAGCAGCGGGAAGTTTCCAGGCTTCATATATCATTAATGCACCATTTCTAATTACTAAATCATTCAACCTGACTAAACAACACACAAAGGGAACATTTAAGATTGTTACCATGTACTCATGAATGCATAAGAAACTTTGCTTGCATGTTTAAATGTCTAAAGCTACTAAGACCTCTTGGAATGTAGTTACAACTTCCAAGTCAATTATCTTTTCTCACGTAGATAATTGTGAAGTTACTCTATAGCAAGGCCTGAAAACTCCAAAATTGAACAAGTAATAACTATCTAGTTGTGGGATTGCTCTTGACAATTTTTCATTGTTAGTTTGTTACTAATGGCGGATTGACAAAATTTGACCATATGGCCCTGTCATAAACCCCATAGACAGCCCATACCAAGCCATTACCATTAAAATTTCATGGCTCAATCTGCCATGGTGCAATTTGACAACACAAGGCATTAATAGTACCTCCCATCCCTTAAAAATTTGCCATTTTTGAATTTTTTGATCAACCAAGTTAATCTTCACCAATGATACATTTGTATAGGAAATTATTAAAATAATACTACCTCCGTCCCTTAAAACTTTGCCAAGTTTGACCGGCACGGAGATTAATAAAGTAAAAACTGTATGGTTGAGTTTTGTGCAGAGGAGAGAGAATTAACTCGAACCACAAATTCTTTACTTAAAAGGAAAAGTGGCAAAGTTAGTGGGACATCCAAAAAAGGAAAGTTGGCAAAGTTTTAAGGGACGGAGGGAGTATGAAATGATATGGAAATGTTTATTGTTAATAAACAATTTCAAAAAAGTATAGAATTTATAACTTTTATAATGTTTTACTAATTAAATTTCATTGCCCAAAGTTTACCATCATTAACTTGCAAAACCTCTGGCAAAGTTTTAAGAGACGAAGAAAATACATAACATTTATAGGGAACACAATGCAACCTGCTTTAACTAATTAATTCACAGTGTAATCTCTATAGATATGTAAGCAGTGCATACAGAAATCACATTTGAATTCATCAAGTCACAGTATAATCTTTTAAATAGCTCAAACAGTGGAAACAGCAATTATGTTTCACTTATTTAAGTGTCAAGTCTGTTGAATATCGAGAGGTAATAGGACCGGCGGGTGGCGATTCACCCACCTTGAGGAGAAGCATCAATTTAGGAAGTAAATCAGAACAGTTGTATGAGGAATAGTTTAAGAAATTGTTATAGGGTAAATAAGTGGAAAATTACAAGTGTTTGTTTTAAAACCGTTTCAATGAAATAATATATACTACGTATGAAATACAATATTTGATTGGAAATACATATTCAATATTTCAATCTGCTTTTCTATTAACTGTTTACATCACCGAGCATGTGGTGGCTTGTTAGTGGCTTAGTTCCACCTGCTGGACCTATTTCTCATTCTCTCTGACAATCCACAAAAATACTTACTTTTGAAATGGAAATGAAAACGATTTAAGACAACAATTTATTATAGAATATAGATCATTCAAATTTTTGCACTATTTATATCAACAACTAAAATCATTAAACTGAAAGGGGGGACCTATTATTGTAACCAACTTGTCTGTTTTTTAAATTTCTCAAAGCAGATATATAGATTCATATGTTCCATTTCACCAATTAAATACAAAAACCTACTTCCGTTTTAAATATGCACAAAAAACTATTGGTCTCAGAGAAGCTTATGAAAAACATGGTAGCCTTCTTGAAAAACAGCTACAGCTACTACCGTATATTTAGAAAAATATCAATTAAATTAAAAAGTTAAGTGAGAAATAGGATATTCAAAAGAGAACAAAATTAGCCTCTAATTTGAGGAGTCACATCTTTAAACTTTTTTACCCACAGTAAATAATGGAATAATAAGCAAACTCCCTCAAATGTCAAGAAAAATATACAATTAAGTGAAAAGTAGAAGAGTAAATAAACAATCACAATATGAGTAAGAAAGTAACTTGAACAGTGAAGTTTTAGGGGTAGATACTTACGGTCAGTGAACCGGTGAATAAAAAGGCTAGGATCTACAGGTGTTTGAACAATTGGGTGCTCTTCAAGGCTTAGAAGTTTGCAGAGTTGTAAAAAGACAGCCCCTAATACATAACTGCACCTCCATGCAAAAATATGGATGATGAATTATAATGGTTCTTGTACAATTATAAAACCATTCTACTCAGAAAAAATTATATTACACAAATGTAGCACACTATTGTATACAAAAAACACTTCTGGACATCTGTAGGGAAGCTAACTTACACATTTATCCGTAAGTACTCAGAAAAATCAATGAGAAGAAATGGCTTTTTCTTTTTCCTGCAACAACAATTTAAAAATACATTTACTAATCATACCAAATCTTCATCTGTTACATATATCAGATGGACATTGCAGTTCCTGGATTCACAAAAAAAAGGATCACTCCCTTTTTTTTTGTTCTTTGCATTTAGAAACTAATCATCTGGACATCTACACTATACAGGGCTTTGGTAATAGGGTTTGAAAAGCCAAAAAGTGAAAGCTATGTACCTATGAAGGACGCAAGTGTATTATTGTTTGAGTAACTCACACTAAGTCAAGTGCTTATATACACATTGTATTTGTACATACTGTATATACAAAGACATTGGTCAATATTAAATCTAGTATGCAAGTGTGCCTCGAATGGTGCCTAGCCTGCCTAAGTAGCGCTAATATACTATCCTAGTATATTTATCAGGTAAATCTATGTTCTCCTAACTTGGTAAATTATCATAACATATGTGAAACTCGATTCAAACCGAGCAGATCCAAATAGGATGTAAAACATATACTCCGTATATATCAAGATGCCACTAATATCTTCCAATAAGTGACTCCCACACTCAAGAATAATCCATCTAAATGCAAGACATCCAACAACAAATGCAAGAAGACAAACTTTATGCAGTTTCTCACCTGCAAGAAATGTAAAGGCAAGCTGCCTGAACTTGTTCCTTTCTGCGTCCCCGGGTGAAATTTCGATCAAGTGCTATCTGAACTTCAAAGTTAATCTTAAGGATTAAACCACCCAGCAGTTCATAACAGTCAAGGGAAAAAGTGCACATAAGTTATGCAGTACTTCCTTCATAATAATAAATTTGTTCACTTTCTTTTAGCAAGGAAATTAAGAAAGTAAGACTGCAAGGTTGAAATTTGTACAGAAAAGGTTATTAAGATTGTGAGATTGAAACTATTTCTTTAAGTGGTAAAATGGGATGTTTATTACTACGTATGAAACAACGCAAAAGGGGTATGAGAAGCTTATTTTTATTTTAGAACAGGGAGGGGGGAGGGGTGGTAATACATGTTAAAATGTAATCATGATGCATACCGTATAAATTCTTAAAGCAGGATCAACTATAGAATCACCGCCATCAATTCCAAGTGCATACAACATATTATCCATGCCTTCATAAGCTGAAAAAATCACCAGGGGGGTGAAGAGGATAAGTGAGGAACGTCATTAGTTCACATTTAAGCACTACAATTGACCAAGTTTGAAGAAAGATTAAACTTTATCGAAGTTCAGGATGTGATAGAAGACACGATGGAAGTTACTATTGACCATTAGAATAGCTATTAGATGTCACCTATGTAAGAGTTGTCTTCTATTCCCCAAATGTTTCGTTTAGACAATACATTGGCCTCAAACTATAAAGCTGGTGAGTTCACACGTGAGTAGTCAGCATAAGCACAATAGCACAAACTTTATAGTGATATCCCTAATTCCCTAGAGATAAAATTCTGTGCTACACCCTATACTGACAATAAAATCAAGTGTTAGACTATTGGCTCCATTTTATGATGTCTAATGAAACACTCTCTCCATTCTTTTTTAGTTGCAACACTTCCATTTTCCCATTTGCAAGCACACAACTTTGACCATTGTTGAAGAATATATCATTTCCGTGTATATCTAGTTTCCCATAATTAGATTTATTCTGTCTTTACTAAATAGGAAGTTAATCTGTGAAGATTTCCGAAACAAGGTAGGTTTCTATGGTAGTTTTAGTATATTTATACCTGTACGTGATAAAAGGATGATATACAGAAAACAGAGAAGGATTTCTCATCATTCCACCCCACTGTGTTAACCCTAATTTTACATGGTATCGGAGCCGCCAGTTAGCCTCTCTGCTCCCGCCGCCGCTGAAATTGCTTCATGACTGTCATGATCAGTGAGAGCTCTTCTTCTGCTGCTGAATTTCCTACTGGAAATTCTGAAGATAATTCAGAACACAACTCTGTTGTTTCCAACGCTACCACGATGGTAACAAGCAACAATGGAATGAACTCTGACCAAGAAACTGGAGGAATATCAGTCCGGAAATTTTCCGGAAAGAATTACCTTCAGTGATCTCAATTTGTAGGTATGTTCATCACAAGAAAGCAAAAAGGGGGAATACTTCAAGCCACACCAGTAGATTCTGACTCCAACTCTAAAGCTTTCACCAAGTGGCACAACGATGACAATCAAGTCAGATTATGGCTAATCTCAACCATGGAGCCAGATATCGGAGACAACTATCTTATACATCAATCTACCAAGGACTTATGGAGCAATGTAAAGGAGACATATTATACTCAAGACAACTCATCTGCATTGTTTGCAATTGAGCAAACATTGTTCAATTTTAAACAAGGAGAGATGAGTGCAACTGAGTATTACAACAAACTCTGCAGGACATGGCTCGAACTGGACCTATATCAGGCTCAAGACTGGGAAACCACTACGGATGCCAAAACTTTCCGCACATTCGTTGAGAAAAAGCGAACAGTTCAGAAGATTCTTGGGCTACGACAAGAACTGGACGTGGCCAAAAGCAGGGTAATGGGGACAAAACCATTCCCTAGCTTAAAGGATGCCTTTCCAGAAGTGCTTCGGGAAGAGGATCGTAGAAGACTTATGCTTGCTGAAACTAAACTAGATGTTGAAGGGTCTGCCTTCAAAACAGAGACGCAAGTTACAGCTCTCATCAGTCATCACACAGGCAAATCGGAACAAGGCAAAAGCAAAGTGGTGTGAACATTGTCATCTTCCCCAGCATACTAAGGTGGAATGTTGGGGGGCGATCGGAGGACCCCCCGGCTGGAAATCAAGAATCTGACTGGACAGGGTTTAGGATTGCTGATGGTAATCGGAGGACCCCCAGCTTGTCTCACATACTCATCATACAAAATGTTTGGATACTTACACCGGTGGAACTTAAACCTCATTCAGAATATGCAACCTTATCCTCATAAGACAGAGGTTAGGATTGTTGATGGTACCTTAGAGAGGTACCATGTAACACAGTCATTAAGGCAACACAAGAGCATGCCAATGTCATAGGATTTGCAACTTTGTGGTAATCACAATGACAATATACATGCTCTGGAAATTACACACCAAACGAAAATTTGATCATCGAATTATGACAAACAAGCATGATAAATATAATACCTTCCTTCAGTGTTCTATCCCGTGAAGCTGAGAATTGACTTTGCACGGACCTTACAAAACTCCCTGCCAATTGACTCTAAAAATAATTGCAAGTTAGTTCTAAAAGTGCATGTTTACCTTTATGCACACGGACACAACTAACTGTTCAATTGAAACAATAAATCAAATGCCCTGCTCTTCCTACCTGTTTTTAGGAATACCCCTATCTGTCCTGAATAATGTTTACTTCACAACATTTCAGTTTTACTAAAGGGTTCACGTTGTGATTTTGTAAAGAAAATGTGTGTCTCAGCTAAAATGCTTCAGGTTTGATGTTGTACAGCAAGATACTAGAGATGTGTATACTGTAAAGATAAAAGACCAGTAAACAATCCCTATAACACAAGTGTTTCCCACAAATAGTCAATTATAATCAGATTCTCATTCTCTATTTTGAATTTATGTTTTATAAAACTTGAGGTTAAACCATGAAGTGTTACAAAGAACTTGACATATCATGTTGGGATTTATTGGAGAAATTCAATTAAACTACAATCAATCTTAAATAGCAAATTGCTTTGAATCAACAAATGTAACTAGTAAAACCTAGCTCAATAGTTGGTATAACAATTACACTACCCAGGGACAATATGGCATTTCTTCTATGCTCAAATAAAAAGAGCAGATGGAATAAAAAAAAGTAGGGGTCTACACACCCAAGCCCATATTTGTTACAAAAGAAATCTCTCACACACTAAAATATGATGATGAAGATGAGGTAACACAAATGAAATAAACCTAGGCAGCTAGGCCTTGGCAGCCCTCGAAGTTGGTTTTATCTGTTTGGGTTTTTGGTCGGATTGTGAATACAAGAAGGTAAGTAACTGGAAAAACAAGGTAGCTCTAGAAGTGTGTTCAAAAACGTGTGTTATACACATACATATAACCTAGAGCATAAACCTTTATATGCATTACAAGTATTTCCAAAGCCTACGGAGATCAAGATTAGTCTTTAACTTGCAAGCCCACTGAGTTGCCTAAATTCATACATTTAAGAGGGGCAATTCACACAGACAGCATTTAAAAAGGTAATAATTAATCATTTATGCAATTATACATCTGAGTCTAGTTTAACGTGCAGAATGGAGCATGCCAAATAAGAAATATTCTGACGATCACGCATTCAAACAAGAAAGCCTTCCAAGCAATGGAATTTTTTTACAAAATCAATTAAACAGCTCCTGAATCCTGATCAGTAAAATGCACCCATTCTACACTTGAGATCCTACACCAAAGGAGAGGAGCAAAACCTGGCCGGCAGCATTTTTAACAAAAGTAGGTTCGTCTGCAAAATGGTCTTCGCTCAGGACTCTCCCACACAACGTACAGCATCTGTCAGATAATTAATAAAATTAAGGCAATAAATATAGCACCACGCATCAGAAAAAGAAAAAGCGGGCATAAAGAGATAAGGGACAAACTTTCTGCCATCAGAATTATCAGTGCAGACATTTTCCCCACAGTTGTCACACCACATCATGACCACTGTTCACCAACACCAAGACCAATAAAATACGATCAAGTCCTGAGACCACTGCATGTAAATGAACTAAAATTCTTCAAATTAGATGAAGAAATCAAAAGTAATGTGATTTCCTAGAATAGGGGTGTATTGTAAAAAACTTCTGTGGACATTTTAAAAGAATAACAAATACACACACTGACACAAACTAAAAACTCAGAGATAACAAGATTTAATTTTGAAAAATTATGATTTCATACAACAAGGTATTAGTTGTAACAAGTAAAATATCGCATAAGTGTATTGTTTATGGACTGACCCGCGTACCGTACCTGAAGTGCAAAACCGTTGTGCTGCCTCACATACGTGGAGGGCTGAAACTGAGAAACTCCTGGGAGTTCCTGGAACTTTGGAAGCTAAACTGCTGTACGAGGGATTAAAGCAATTGGAATTGGAACTGAAGCAATTAAGACTTTGGAATTGCCGTGCCTGGCTGGATGCTTGGCCCTTGAAACCTTTTGTCCTCTGCTTCGAAGCAAAGCTACAAGCCTGCAAAATCATTCAATGAAGCAATTGGAATGGGAGTTTATCCTCCATTTTGAATAATAGAAGCGGCGGTCATATGTCACTCGGGCTTCTCACCTCTCTTCGAAGAGGCGTCGCCCCGTCCCTGCGTAGTTGCGTCCGGCCTACTTCCCGCGCTCTTCAGTAATCTCCGACAAGTTTTTCTTTTGTCCTTCTGGGAAGAACAGTTCCGTGTATCGTTCGTTCCTTGGTTTAACGGCTGGGTGTGCTACTAGCTTGTTGGGTATGTTTTAATTAGGCTGAGGGTTTTGGGCCTCGGGTTTAATAGTATTATTGGGCTGAATCGTGAAGGTCAATATTTGGGTCGGCAGATTAGTGGGGAATTCTAAATGCAGCCCATCTTTTACTAAACAAACTCATAATTAAATTCATTTTAAATAAATCTATCAACTCTACAAACTTACCCCTAATATGTTTTTCTTTTTTACTCCCTCTGTTCTTTTTTATTAGTCTTTCTTTCCTTTTTGGACATATTTTTTATTTGTCCTCCTTTCCCTTTAAGGAAAGTTTTTGAGAAAATAAACTCACTTTTATTACTTTTACCCCACTTACTTTTTACAAACTACTTTCTTTTTCCTACTTTACCATCACTTTACTCTTCTTAATACACTCTCTTTCCTACTTTATCATCACTTTACTCTTTTTAATATACCATTTTTCCTACTTTATCATTTACTCTATACACTATATATTTACCCTACTAGTATGTGACCCGTGCGATGCACGGGAAAAATAGTCTCTTGGTTGATATTGCCTTCGTCCCGTTATAAGGTTCCCACTTACCTTTATTGGACGTTTTATTAGATGGTTCTCATTTCCATTTTAGGAAATAATTAACAATCTTAAGTGAAAAATTAATCATTAAATGTTAAAAATAATACATTTATAACATCACAGTTATCAATACTAACTACATTATAATGTATATCTATTCAAATTATTTCTCAAAATATACTCGAAGTAGTTTATTTAATTATAACCTAAATAACCGTGTCATTTTGCTATGGGAACCTTCCAACGAGAAGGATGTAGTATATGAATTTTATGAACTAAAATGTTAATAAAAGATTAATAATCGTAGAAGAAACGCATAATACATGCATGATATAACACAAAACCAACATCTAGTTGATATAATGAATACAAACGCAAAACAAAAGAGATAACATAAAAATGTAGAATAACATGTTTTGAAAAATTAGGATGAGAAGTTACTCTTATCTAGAAGCTGTTTGGTAACACTGTTTTTCGGCTTATCAGACTTATCAGTCACCTTTTTACCAAACACATAATTTTTGTTTTCGCGCGCTAAATTGTGTAATAAGCAGAAAAAGTAAGGTTGAAGTTACTTTTCTGGCTGTATAGGCTGAAGTTACTGTAGATGACCATTTTAGTTATTTTAAAATACTCGTATAATTTTTTCTTCATTTTATTAATAAAACATATTTTAAAAATTATTTTTTCTTAAATCAGCAAAATCAGCCGCCACTTCAGTCATAACTTCATAAATTTCAACAGAATCAGCTAAATCAGCCGATTTTCGTGCTACCAAACGGGCTCTTAGAGAATTTAAAAATTAAACCCATATTTTTGCAAGAAAAATCAGAATGGCCAAACATCTTGGGCCAATATAAATTTCAGCCCAATGCAAGCAAACGTAAATCTCTTTTGATGTATTCTATACTGCGTATATTCAGCTGTAAATAGATCAAGCTCAGAGGGTGCTGTTGTGGTTCGTTCTTCTTTCATTCTCTTATTTAGTGATTGATTTTGTGTTTTTATTGTCAATTGTATGAAGGTTTCTCTTATTTAGTGATTGATTTAGTGTTTTTATTGTCAATTGTATGAAGGTTTCTCTTATTTAGTGATTGATTTTGTGTTTTTATTGTCAATTGTATGAAGGTGAAGGTTTTTTAATTCACATTTTCTGCACTGGACCATTAATTTGTACGGAGCATTTAATTTCTTTGAAACACTTGTCAATTGAATCATTTACTTTACTGGTTTTATGTGTTTTATTTTATGTTATTTATATCCACGTGATGGATATAAATAACATTTAAATTATACGGAGTAACTTGTTTAATTTTTTGAATTATAAAATAACAGCCTCAAATATTTTTCTGTATCTACGTGGTTAGTCTAAATGTTTACAAACTTAGCTCAAGTAAATTACATAGATACCCCTTTCAGCTTTTTCTCTTTTTACGCACATAGCTAGCTTCCTTCTTCCTCCTTGCTATTCCTTTTAGTGTCCCTTCATTTTGCGGATTCCCCTCTATCACGATAGGGAACCAAATTATTCAGAAGTATTATAACAAATACTCCGTTCTTTTTTAGTTGCAACAGTCAACATTTAATATTTGTCAACGCACGTCTTTGACCGTAATTATATCTTAATCTCTATTAGTAAAAAAAAATTAAAAATCGGATTTTGAAACTTTGTAATGAGATGAATTGAACAATATCTTTAAAAAATTATAAAATAATAGCGTAAAATTTAGTCAAAGTAGAGTCTGTGAATAGTGTAAAATTTAGTCAAAGAAACGGAGAATAGTAAGAGTTTACCTTAACATGGGACGTCTCTCTTTGCATTTTCTTCTGAAATGCAGTCCTTATTCAGTTTAAACTTTAAAATGGTAAAGTAAAATCCTCACTTTTCTATGAACCATTATTTGGCACTTGAGCTAAGCACATCACTTTCTATTCTACCAAATTCATGTCTATAGGAAACCCATCACCGTGCTTCTGTTCAATCGTGAATATGCTTGAAAACGCTTAAGTTGACTACTCTTTAAGTAATAAAATAGTCCTACCTGATTTATCTTTTCTTACCAGTTTTTGACAAATTCAGCTATTTTTTAAGTTCTTGGCCTGCATTATTCAAACATAAATGTTGCATTTAAAATACTGTCCAAAATGCAAGTATTATTATCACATTTAAAATACTGTCCACAATGCAAGTATTATTATCATACTCCCTCCGTCCCGAAAAGTTCGCCAAATTGACTTTTCTTGGTTAATGAGATTCAACTTTGACTATTGATATTTTTAATACCAATTTAATTTGAATATGAAGATTATATCAAAATGTTCTTATAATTAAAATGATTGTCCAAAATTTGTCATCATTGACCAATAAAAGTTAATATGGAAAACCTTTTCGGGACGAAGGTGTATTTACTATTGATAAGTATATACATGCGTTAAGTGTGTACTACACTTAAAAAAATACAGATGTAAAGTGTTTTTGTTCACATATTACTTACTCTGTACGTAGTATTTAGAGAATCCGTTTTTTAGAAACTATAATTAATTTAATAAACCATCATCTTAGTTTTTTACGTGCTGAATTAAGAAAATGAAAATATTGAAATCATCTTAGTTTTTTTTTTTTCTGAAATCATCCTCACTTGGTAGACTCCATTCTTTCCCATTATTTGCAAACTAAGAGTACCAGAAATTATTTCTAGTCTCAACACCATTATTTCCCCAACTACCCATAATTAACCCAGCCTTATTAAAACAAAAGCAACTTAACGTAAAATTGTACCACCTCCCTTCCATATTTATCTATGCTTGATTGACGATAAAACAACTCGATCCCTGTTCACACTCGGATTATTTTTAGTAAATAAAATTTACATATTCAGAAACTACATTAAAACCGCTACAAAGCCTGATCAAGAAAATTTAAGTTTGATAAAAATTTGATATATAAAGTAAAAGATTAAGAGTAATTTGAGTTGACCATGTGAATAGTAACTATGAAGATAATTTTGGGACAGAGGGAGTACTAACCGGGACACAATTGTAAATTGCAGCAACTGTTGTAGAACATTTTTATGAATTCATTCTGAAATAGGGATTCAATTGTAACAATATATATATATCGGAAATGTTAAATGTAATTGTCATTGAATGTACCTCTATATCATGATAAATGCACTCCAATGCTTTAGTCATGTTATTTTCGAGAAGCTGGACTTCAGTATACACACCGTAACAGCAGTCTCACTGGTAGATCGACATTTGTAGTGCCCTGTTCATCTTAGAGATTTTCAGCTCTTAGACTCGATCTATATAGAATAATAGAACAACATCATAAGATATCCATGACAAACTAACAATTATTCAAATTATTATCTAATACTACTACGTAACACAGATAGCTAAACAAAATATTTGACGCTACAAAAAACTAAAGTAGGTGAAAACACTACTCCGTATTATTGAATAGTTGGAGTTTCACGTATAAAAGTTTTCCCAATTAAGCTATGATGATGGCTAAAGAAGGCAATTTATAGTTTAATGAGCCCCATTTTTACAGGGATGTTCGTGGAAACTGTCTGGGGTAACCACCATTACGTGCAAGATGGAAACGGCAATCCTGAAGTTTTGCTGGCACGTGTATCCATTGATCATATTTAACGTGTTATGCTTTTTGTAGTGCGTGTATCTGATCTTCTACATTTTTGCGAGGATTGCCACGTGGTTTCTAATCGCAATGTGTTGCTTCAATAACTACTCCGCATAATGTAATTCATTTGTGCTTCGGTAAGTTCTAGGCGGGAACAGTTTTGTTCACACGATCGAGTTTTTATATATATAAAGATTACTTAATTATTAAAACTCGTATCAAACCCTAAGAGCACTAATAAAAAAGAACGGAGAGAGTATCTGCTTGATTTGTATCCACCCAAACAATTATAATTGGAAGAAAAGTCATCCACACATAGAATTTTTCTCATTTATTAAAGCACTGCTCTATTTCACTTGGTGGAGGTTTTGTATGTAGAAGAATTAGAAGCAATGGAGGAACCTGTAGTGATCTGGAATGTTTTCCGCTTCAATAGATTCCGGCCACTTGAGACGCTGACGGTTGATAGCAAAGCTAGTGATGACTCTAGACTAAGAGAGTGTTTGCGATTGCTTGTACTTTTTAAAAGTGATTTTTTAAAGAGATTATTGGAAAAAGTGATTTGTAATAAAAGTAGGTAATGTTTGAGAATAGAAGTGATTGTGATTAAAATGTAAAAGTTGAAGTGTTTGGTAGGAAAGTGATTTTTTATGTAATAAATTATCAAAATACAAAAATACCCCCAAATTAAATAATGAATCAAGAACAGTAATGAGAGACGGACTGCTGCTCTGCCTCGTTTACAGTTGCCTTCTTCCCCCATTTGCTTCTATATACCGTAT